ACTAACGTCTTTAGCTATTTTACACTTGAATTTAACACCAGGATGACCCTGATTTTCATCCCCCTCACCCTCTGGTTTTCTTTTGTGCCCGTCAAGTTCCTCATTGACAACTGGAAACGCGGGAGGATTCCGAAACATCTCGATTTCCCTTTTGCGCTTATTGGCCGATGCCTTCATGGGCATTCCAATACGGTGGAAGGCGAAGGTAGGAACACGTTGGCTCTCCTCAATCTATGGTAGGCGGCGGCAAATTCGAGCTTTGAAAGAGAAAATGCATGACTGAAGTGGAGATATTCATTCATATAAGGAAAGTTACCATATAATTTCTCCCCTTCTTTAGGTTTTGCATCCATTGGTTCGGAATGGAACAAATCACCTCGACCACAACTTTAGAACTTTCGACTCAATCTCGAGAACCTTGTCTCTTCATACAAAGCTCCTTCCAGATACTTCAACCATATCTTTCCAATCAAGTCCACAAAAACTACAAATTTCATGGTAGGGAAAAAATATTACCATATCATAAGCCCAATTCAACAAAAATACATAAAAAAGGAAACTACACAATATTCCTCGGTATACATTGACTGCAGTTCAAAATCAGTAATTCATTCACCTCGACCCAAGCAATATAAAGACAATGTCCACAACTACAACGGAATTCTTTCGAATCCCTAACCAAGCATTTCATAGACTTGGCAAGTGTGGACTCACACAACTGGAAGAACAAAAGATGAATGATCCTTAACAAGTGACATATGCACAATACAACAAAGTACAAATATTAGTCCAACCGTCAGATAACGGCCGTACTCAATTATAACCAGATGTTGTTTAGAAGCATTCTTACTACAAAGAATGGAAAATTCAAATTTCAAGCTTTGCACACTGCCTTATAAACAACAAGTGAAATAGCACTTATAATATCCATCAAAATACCCACCTCTGCACAATAATGAGATCGAATTTATACCAATATCCGTATTACTTGCCTCCTAAATAACTTTCATTTCTGGAACCCATGAGATTGTATCACAAGAAGTTCATACAACTTCCTAATTCTTGACATTGATAACCAATTTATAATGCACACAAAATATAACAATTCTATGTTTATCTAATTCCTAACAATTACAACAGATCAGAGTACACAGTACAACTATATGTTCATCCCAAAAATAGATCAACAGTCCAATTAAAATGAAGAAAAATAACAAAAAAAATACAATCATTTTATTAAAAAAAAAAAAATGTTGGAACATCTAATCAAGAAAAAACACCCTTCTGCCACCTCAAACACACAAATGTAGCAAAAAAAAAAAAAAAAAAGGACCAATAAAAAGGATAAAAAAAATGTACCTCTTTCAATCAGAATCTACGGGCTGCGTCGAGTCCAGCCCGAGCCGCTAGAGGGCTTTATGGCTGACCCATGTCTCGACTGTGAGATCGGGCTTCGCGCTGCCTACCCCCCAAGGATGACGTTGGTGGGGAAGCTTGTGACGTAGCACAGCAGTCCCCAATCCTCCAATTTTTGGGGCTCTCCATCGAACGAGAAGCCGATATGCTACAAACGCGGCCGCTGAGATCTTCTTTTATTTGAGGGTGTTTTAGTAATTTGGTAGTCCCATTTTAGGAGGGATATGGTATCCTGTGTATCCTAATTAGCACTGTCAAACGGGCCGGTCCGGTCCGGCCCGCGCTGGCCCGCGGTTCAAACGGGTCGGGCCAAAATGGCCCGTATTTCTACGGGCTGAGAAATCCATGGCCCGTAGCCCGCCCGCATTAGCCCGCGGGCCAAATCGGCTTGCCTGCGTTTTTTTTTTTTTACTTACTGTTTTTTTTATTATTATTATTATTATTATTTTTGCAATTT